ATTTTTTATAAATCAAAAATTATCTTCATTATTCACTTTCCTAATTACAATAACAATAGCTCATCGATTGAAATAATAATTAGCTTAAAAGTTCCTATTACAAATTTGCATTGAATTTCAACAAAAATTGAGATTGATATATTTGTTGATAACAATGTAAAATGGATTGCGCATATTAAAAAAGAGTCACATCAAATATTTTCAATCAACAATATTTTATTTTCTCATTTATCCAACTTGTCACCCATTTCAAATTTTATTTTCGCCAATTTAATTAAATCAGATCAAATTCAACAAAGCAAAAATGACAAACAATGATATCATTAATACTATCATTGTCATCATTATTACTATCACTAATAATTAAACATTAACAAAGAGGAATATCGCAAAATTGGAATATAAATAATGATTTTGAGCAGCAGATACATCACACAGTTTAACAAATAACATTTCTTCAATCAGAAAATTCCAAATCAAATTTGCCGATGAAAGAAATAAAAATAAAAATTAATTTCATTAATGTTGGTCAAAAAAAAAAAATACGTATTAGAGAAAGGCATTCATCTTATCACGTTGTCGAGTTGATTCAGATCGAAAAAATGCGCTCACTAAACCTTCGCTGATAAATAAACTACATGATAGTAGCGATAATATCTGAAATTTAAAAATAAAAAGGAAAGAAAAAAAACTTCAAACATATTTAAAATTAATTTACCTATCAATTTGAAAAAGTAATAAAATATGTTTTCAAACTGTGAGATAAAAGTTTTTTTTTTCCTCTTCAATTTACATTTTACTCTTTAAATGAAATTTTTTTCCAAAATTATTTAAAAATTAAATAATTTTAACAGTTAATTAAAGTAATTGAACATACTCCAGCTAAGGCCCAACCACTAATTCCACATTGCATATCGAAATACGATTCCATCGAAGTGTAATCCCTGCGTAAATTATCAAATCGATAATAATCATTAATCCATGGACAGGTACTGTAGTATATTTCTAGGCCAAAAACAAACATTGAAAATGGTACTGCACAAAATGAATAACACATACACTGAAAATTTTATTATTATTGTTATTATTTTAGGTTTGAAATTTGATCATTGTAAATTTGAATTTTATTTCTTTTCCATCTAAAGTAAAAAATTTTACATGTAAAAAAAAATTTCTTATTTCAGGTCACATGTTTTTTTTTTCGGTTTTTTTCTTTTTCTTTAATTTCTAACAACAATCTTGTAAATTAATGACCACTACTATAACTTAAAACTAATAGATACTCACTTCTCATAATATTTTTTTAAAATAAATTTCAACATTTACTATCATATTTAATATTTTTTTCTAAAACATTAGAAATGTATTAAGCGAAGTTTTGCAAGTTAATCATTGTCATTATAATTAAAATTTCCCAATATAAAATATTTAAACAAAAATTATGGATTAGAAAGAAAGGCAAAGCAAATCCAAAAAAAATTTTTTTCCAAACTAATCAAAAATCAAATTCAATAGTACCATTCTATTTCCTCTATTCCAATTACACTTTCCATAAATTCATTTTTTTAATTCTCGCGCATCTCCCATCCTCATTCGCTCTCTCTCTCCTAACATATCACAAATATTCTCAACCATACTTCTAAATAATAATAAAATTTCGAATGCATATCAATCTCGAGCAGTCCTTATCAATCATAAAATGTTTCCATTCCTTTTTTTCTTTTCCTTCCTTTATTTCTTTTATAAGCTTTGAGATAATTAAATTCATTTATTAATTCAATTTTTTTTTTTTTGAAAGCATTGCTATATTCTCCTAATGTCAACAATTTCAACAATTATATCTTTTTTTTTTATTCCCACTTCAAAGATTTTAGTCAAAATATTCTTATTCTTTGAAAAAAAAAATTTCGAAGTTGAAAAACATATAATGAAAAAAAATTAAATGCAAATTTAAATACATTACAAATGGGATAAACTCATTTTATTGCACGTAAATTTTTCATTTTTTTTTTTTGCTCTTCCCAAAAAAACATTAATTTTTTTTTTCAAAATTTTTTTCGTAAAATGCAATATACTTTCATGCCTCGTGAAGAAAAGAAAAAATTAAAAAAAAAAAACAAAACTGTTTTAGTAAAAAATTTCCTATTACATATTAATTCTACTATTTAGTATATTTGCATCACTGTTATTTTTTGTTTTAATTAATAATTTTAGAAAGTAAAAAGATAATTTTTTTCTTTGTAATTAATAATTGCAGAGAGTAAAACTGTTATTTTTTGTTTTAATTAATAATTTTAGAGAGTAAAAAGAATTTAAAAAAAAAAATTCCTAAATTTACCAATAAACGAGAATATTTGCAGCAATATAGTTGTATGGTATGGGCAATAATCGTTATTATCAATATGATAGTTGTAATAGCTGTAGCAAAATATTGTCCATTTAAGCGCATTTCACTAAATGTTACAGGTAATTTCGAGTAAATATTATAATACCATTTATTCGGTGTTAACATTAATGATTGTTTACCACCAATATTTGAATAGTATTGTCCAACACCACTCAAAATTAATCCATCAATTGTAAATAGCAATAACTGAAATAGCATAATTTTGTTAATTATATTAATCTTATTTTTTTCATTGCAACAATAATTTAACGATCTTTTGAAAAGTGTAAAAGGTAAATAAAATTTAAAATTATTCCACTACGAATGAAGAATAATTTTAAATTTTCATTGAATTAATTAATTATTATCAATATAATTTAAAATTATTTAACTAGCTAAAAATTTTGTCATTATTTTGATATTGTTTTATATAATTTGCTTTATAATTATATCACTCATTATTTCTTTCAGTTTATTATTGATTTCAAATAATTTGTCAGTTTTTTCTCCGCTATCATAAAATTTTACGAAATTAATTTGCATATAAATGTTCGATTTTTCTTTGATTAAAAAAATTATATCCCAGTAGAAAAGATTATAAATTTTGTTTCAAATAAGCTTTGCAAAAAAAAAAAAAAAATTAGATAGAGAGCAATTTAAAAAATTAAATTGTTAAATCTATCGCTTTTTTTTTCATTCTTTTCACTACAATTGACTAAATTAAACGCAGAATTTTTTCTTTCCTTTTTTTCTGTTTTGGTTTATTCTTCTATGAAAAAATTGTCTAGGCATAGAAAAGAATGAAAATTTTATCTTTTCGAATTAATTAAATTCATTTATGATAAGCAGAGTTAGCAATAATGAATAAGAATTGCTAATGAGTCATAGCAAAACTATGTAAATTAATTTGAATGAAAAGATAATGATGCTAATAAGTTCGGTATTTGACAGTGTCATTCACACACATTCAACCAAATATAAAAATAAATTATACAACTAAACATTAAATAACTCAAATAATTGAAATGAAATCATTAAAGTATAAAGGTTTTTTTAGCATTATTAGGAAAGAAAATGATGCAATGGATAATGCATATTTTCATTCAAGTTCGGAAATTTTTAAAAATGGTAAAGTTAAAAATGAAAATTGTAATATTTTAGATATAAAAGTTCACAACGAAATTGTTTGACATATATCATTTATCGAATGTAGCCTTTCAATAGCTATGTTAATATTAGCCGGAAATAATCATATCATATGGTTTTAAATATTTCACCAAAACATTT